CTGTATCAAAAGAGAAACACATGCAGCAAACGCAGATGTTTGCTGCATGTGTTGTTAGGTTATGTTGTTTAAAGTTAAAACTATTAATACTGACAAAGTTGAGAGTTTTATGTTTATTTGACGGTGATTTATTCTTTAAGGCTAAATACAAATAAAAGGTGTACAACAGTTTGTTGAGTTTTACTGAGGCTTCTATATTGTTTCGATATCAAATTATATCGCTATCAACCACAATAAAGAAATATATTGTGATAAAAGTTTTGGCCATATCGTCCAGCCCTAAGTCATTGCATGATTTGAAGTATAGATGTACATCTGAAACTACATTTGTCTGGTTGCTTAATCTTAAAAAATGGGAATCTGGCAGCTTACTGAATAATACCACAAATAAAAGAACATTTCTATGCATCAATACAATGTATTCCACTTCTTAGACTATTAGCACCAAATGAACCTCTTGTGCCTTCAAGGCGTCTTTACTTTTTGAATTTCAATATTAGATTTTAGCCCTTGAGGGATTATTATTTATTTATTTTTTTTAATAAAGAGAGCAGACGTTATACTCTAGTCTGCTTTTAAAGCTAAAGTGCTCCATTTGGAGCTAAAAATGTTGAAATGGAATGTTTACAATTTCCTAGTACAGCATTTTAATGGTATTCTGCAATTATTTTAGGTAGCCTAAATGAAGCTTAAGCATTGTTGTTGTTAAGAATGTAAGATTTCAGGGTTGTCCTTCACTCAGCGGAAGTCTAGTTTCTCCAGGAATCATGAGATTTTTGAGGGCAACTCTCCTTTACGTTCACCCAAGTACAACAATAAATGTCAATGACAAAGAAGAGGCACAAAAAATGCATCTGTTTTAACAATATTCTTTGACTAAACTAGCAAGAGCAAGTCTTTTAATAATGTTTGTGGCTTTGCTGTTATCGAAACAGTAAAATGGTGCAAAACATTTGCTCCTACTATTCGTCTTTGAGCACATGGGAGCCTAACTTATGTATGTGCATCTTGTGTAATGGGACCATGTAGGAGTAACTTGTGTTATGAGCTGCTTAAAATAAAGATCAACTTGCACATAATTATTAGTTTCTTAGCAACGGCAGTAAACGAGGGTAGTGGGCATTGTCAAAGTTGTTTATGCTGGGAATATTGCTAATTGTGTCTTTACGCAACAGAGTTTTTACATTAAATGTCTGCTCCTTAAGAGTCCTAGTGGATCAACAAAGATGTCTCCCTCTGCTTATATCTTACAACAAGGATAATTTCTGAGTGCTTTCTATGTAGCTGCACACTGCTCTAGCAAGAAGAAGAAATGGTAAACGGACTGTATTTATATAGCGTCTTTCTATCTTATCAAGACACTCAATGTGCTTTACACTATAATCTGTGCCTTCATTTACCCAATCGTACAGCACTCTACTAGATCTCTACAAAGCTAACTGAACAAACCATTCTAAAGAGACTAACCAGTGCTTTATCACATTAATACACCGATGGGACACACATCGGAGGCGATGAGGGGGTTCAGTGTCTTGCCTAGGGACACTGACATGTGACTGCTTGTGGATTCAAACCCCCAACTCTTGCATTGGAGGACGACTGCTCTAACCACTCAGCCACAGCCTCCCCAAAGAAGAAGAAAGTGACAAAAAAAAACTTTGAGGTCACATCCTTCTTTGGGGAGATTCATCCCATCATCATACAGGTTAAAGCAACCTTTTGGGTCTATTTAACACCCTATTATAAAGCATTTAGTCAAGATGAGTCCCTAGAAGCTGTTAAAATGATAAAGGGCCAATCAAAAGTACCATCATTGTCATATTTCAAAGAATATGTTCATTATTAAGGTTGCTTGGCAGGAACAAATTAGAGCCAAAGTGAAATAATCATGTCCAAACTAGTCTGACATTGTAAAATCCTACCTGTCCTAAAGGATCTGTGCTGTCTTGATAACATGAGCCTAAAGGAGGTCAGTCACCTCTTGTGTCTGCTTCACACGAGGAACCCAGAGCAGTCAAGGCTACTGTTTAATCTGTAACCTTTAACCTCTGGGCAAGGCAGCACAACCTGCAGCTGGCTAGAATCCACCTGAGAATACAACACACACAAAGTCTGAATTCTATACAGGTTCCCAGGTGCTACTAATCCTCATTTATGTCAATGTTTTACTGCTGGAAATAGACAAATGATTAGCAATGCTTATTTTTAACCTAATTTAGGATTAAAACGGGCAAAAAAGTGTGACTATTTTAATTTTGGGGTGGTTGTGGCCGAGTGGTTAGAGCAGTTGTCCTCCGGTGCAAGAGTTGGGGTTTTGAGTCCACCAGCAGTCACATGCCAAAGAGTCCCTGGGCAAGACACTGAACCTCTCTTTGCCTTGTATGTGTCCCATTGGATTATGAATGTGATAAAGCACTGATTAATCTTCGTACTGAAATAGTTGAGTGCTGGATGAATGGGTAAATGAGGGCACAGATTGTGTTGTAAAGCGCTTTGAGTATCTTGATAAGATAGAAAGTACAGTCCATTTACCGTTCTATCCCTTTTTTGCCTCTCAGTGTCTCCATTTTCTCTGACCTCACTTTATCTTCCAAATTTTATTTTCCAGTTAAGGTCTCGGTCATTATTTGTTATGTTAAAGTAACTTGACGCTCACTTATTTAAATCCCCCCCCCACACACACACACAAGCAGTCCTGCGGTATACTCAGTGAAAACTGTGTTTTATGTTAAAGCATGTGTGGCCAGCTACAGTCTGCAACCAAGTGAAGGAAGACATGACAAACGACTTTGGCATTTAACATGACAGACACCTCCGCTCTCTGCCTCCCTCCCCCTGTCTATATGTGTGTGTAGGTTTTGCACGTCTGAGCTCACCCACGAGCAGGTAAATAAACTTTGAAATACAGTGTGTAGACTTTACGTGAGTGTTTTGCGACTATGGGTACACACAGGCACTACCTAATAAATTATTATGTTTAATTATCAGAGATCAAACCTGACAATGTTCAGGGTGTTTTAATAATGCTTAGTCCTGAACCATAATTATCATTGTTCCTATAAAATGTAGCACGCTCACAAAGTACTAAATATCAAAAGTAAATCCAGAGAGCAGGGGCAACCTCTGCATTCTCCTGACTATAGCTCTATACTTGGGTGTACCAGTGACCCAGGACCAAAAAAGACAAAAACTATTTTAAAGTTTTCAGAAGTGAGATCATTTCTTGTACTGATCTCTCCTGGGTCATACTCAGAATGTTTTAGAAGGCTCTTTCATAAATGTTCAAAATGGTCGCACAACCAGGTCCATCTTTATGCTCCCTCTGGTCATTCAAAAATCACTGATGAAGCCGACCACTTCCCACCCAGATGTAAGCTCTCACTAATGAAGCGGGCAGAGCGGGCCTGAAAAAGGCGGGAAGCAGAACTCAGCGGTGTTGTTGTGGTAAATGTGTGTTGGACAGCTCCCTTTTGTCATTTACACAACATAATGAATTAACCCACTTCAGTAATCCTCTTTGTGGTTAATTTTTTTAAACTAATTACTAAGGTGTGGCACATTTGATCTTCCCTCTGTAATAAATCTGTTAAATCCTGCGAGCGGGTGGTTGCAAACTTATGTCATCAGTTCATCACATTATTGAGCTGCAGCATCTTTTTTTTTTAAATTCCTACACAAATCACCAGCATAACTCTGTTACTATCTCACTCAGAGGCGCACCAGAAGTGGTCTGTCTGCGACCCCCCCCCCCCCCCCCCCCCCTCCTCACAGTTTTGGTGATTTCTGAATGAACTGAGACAGCCAGAACACATTTCAGTCCCGGATTGAAATATCAGTGATTGCACCTAAAGAGAATCATTAAGCTGTATTGTGTCACCACATCCAGAAAAGGTTGTGTTAATTGGGCCTCCACCCTGTGGAATTGTCATTTCTATTGAGTCACACAGGGCACCAAATCAGATCAGTGACCTTTCGCGTAGGAAGTCTCTATTTTTGAAAGCTCAGACCTCAGAATTGATTGTAGCACAGTTGTACTTGGGCAACCAAAACTGTAGCTTTTTACTCTTACTATAGAGGTGTTTTGTTGTGGAAAAACTGCCTACTGTATAGCAAGGAGGTCTCACAAAGTGCAAATGTCATAAATTAGAACCAACTCTTTCTCCTCCTTTGGTCTCGGTGGGGTTTACTGATGTGTTGCCCAAGCAAGTCTGTATGTTTACTACCCTGTGGGAGCCATCTCCTCTCAGTACCCCGTGGCATATTACTGGTACGGTTAGCACAGTGAGACCATACCACTGGGTTAGAGAATGTGGGTGATGGGTGACGGTCTCTTACTGCCATCCAACAACAGATTGCTCGCACAAATCAGGTTGCCACGCTGCACAAAACCACACTTTTTAGTGTGGGCCAGGTTACACACAAACATGCCTTTGTACTTCTCTCAGTAAAGTGTGGAGTTCCAGCAGCCTGCTCCAAGGGTTCAATGGGGTTTGACAGGGCCAGAGAGTGAGGGTGTGATGGATTTTGGAGGAAGGCTGGTGGATAGAGGAGCGAGCAGGGGATAATCCAGTTACTGTTGGGGCCAGAGAACGCACTGGCATGCTAACAAGTGTGGTCAGCCTCCATCAATTACTGCCCAGTTTGCTTGTTTTTTTATTATTTCTGTATGGGACCTTCATCCCTCATTGACTAGTCTTCCTTCTGCTGCAATGTGACTTCTTTAACTCACTGCCCACTCATCTGCTCATCTCTCATATCCACGAGCTGGGCTAATTGGTTTGTGAGGTGAGGTTGTGCACTTATAGTGAAGGGCTTAAAATAGTAATTATAGTTTCCATTATAACTGTCTTATACTTTAAAGTATTTTATGACATCTCACTTAGACATATGTGATTGTCCGAGTTTATTTTACTTTTTTTTTTACCTTCATATATTGTAAGAACAGCTTATTTCCCAGTGTTTCTATGGGGATGCATGCTGAGGAGTATAATAGGTCTTACCTTTACACACTGGTCGGTGGTCACTCCAGGCTGCAAAAACTTCGGCCACTCTTTGACAGCTGATGGTTTTACTGCCCTGAAGTACATAGTCCTCTTCACAACTGAACTGCACCACACTGCCAATGCTATACAAACATATGCAGAAATAAGCACACAAAGAGTGAGAGCTGCAGAAAAAAAAATATATATCTTGTCAACTTGCAAATAAATACTCTTTGAAAAATCTGTTTTCAAATTTAAGATATGCATATTTGTTTAAATGTTAACATGTTTACAAGTTTTAATTGTACCTGAAGTCATTGCCATGACGTTTTCCATTCTCTGGTTCTCCGGGGTCAGGGCAAGAGTTAGACGCCTGTCTCACTCCCCCTTCATTTACTATATAGAGAAAGAAACATGCACATCCCCAGGAAAACAGGTTAGAATGAGACAGAAAGGGCAGTAGTAAAGCAGTACAGCTGGGTCCAACCAGCAGACTCATTTGTCCTTTCCCTACAGGAGATGGTATATTGTCTGTCCTTATGAAGCACTTTTCTTGCCAACCAGGCTACTCAAAGCCCTTTACAATACAATCTGTGGCCATATTTACCCACACACACACACACATTCATACAGCACCGTATCTTCATAAACCTAATCTGAATAAGTCATTCTGTAGAATCTAATCAGTACTTTAGATCACATTTCTGTACTGATGGTCCACATATCAGTATATGAATGTGGTAAAGAAGGACACAGTGTTTGCCCAGTGACACTTCTATATTTGACCACACGCTGTTGGGATTGAACCTCCAATTACTGTTCTAACTACTGAGCAACAGTCATCCCCAAGAGTTGTAGCTGAATTGTGACGCATGCTACAACTAATTTAAAAATCATTACCGCTATTCATTATTCATCTGGTATTTTTTTGTATTTACAAAAGCCAGGAATACTCGTTTGTTGTTATGAATCAAAATTTGCCATAAAAAAAAAAAAAAAACTGCTTCAGTTCTCCCTGGCAGTATCTTAAAACCATCTGTTTTTGTCATTTGATAGCATTCAGCACCAACCTTCCTGGGTAAATTTCCAGCTCTTTGCTTTCTGTTTTGGAAACCTGCCTGCTTCATCACGTATTCACTTTAGAGACAGCGGGAAATGGATTAGACCAGGAGATAGACAGAGAGTGAGACAGTAGCTAGGCAGGGACTTTGCAGCCACCAAAACACTATTAATTATTGCAGAAACACACATACTGATCTTGACTATGCCAATATACAATAAACATCACCGGTGTTAGACAAAGATGCCAAACAGAACTGTACAAAGACTTAAAATTGATGATATGCAACAAATGGTGATTTTGCCAAGAGTCTGTTTCATTATGAGTGTGATATTTAAATATATGGTTGCAATAAGCAAAACTTTTTCTGTGTTTCTGTTGCACTTTTTTTATTTAAAAGGAAAGATCTACAGTTGTTCACTTAACTTTTAAGTAATTAATATAGCGCTGTTCGTTCTTATCAAGACACTCAAAGTGCTTTACACTATAATCTGTGTCCTCATTTACACATTCATACAGCACTCTACTAGATCTATACAAAGATGAACAAATCATTCTAAAGAGACTAATCAGTGCTTTACCGCATTCATACACTGATGGGACACACATCGGAGGCAATTAGGGGTTCAGTGTCTTGCCCAGGGACACTTCGGCATGTGACAGCTGGTGGAGTCGAACCCCCAACTCTTGCATTGGAGGATGACTGCTCTGAACACTCAGCCACAGCCGCCCCATAAAATCACTATTGCTTATTTTTTTTAATTGTAAACCTGATTTATTCATTCAGTCTCTTCGGTTGATTGAAAAAAAACTGCTGTATGATGTGCTTATTTATTCCTGCTATGGGACAAACAAAACACCCTATGGTTGTAGTTTGATATTCAAATAAATGAGCTGATATTCAAATGAAAGAGAATCATGTAATTACTTCTGTATAATGTTTCGCTTACTTCTAAAGCAGCAACTCAAACAGACAACATGGGAGTGTTCTGCTGAATACTTATTTCATTAGACTGATTAACATTATGCATGGAGCAGCATGATTCGATTTGTGTTGTTTGGCTAGCCAATATTGTGATAAGGGTTTAATATTCTTCATGCAATAAACATCGTTTTTTTTTACTTAAGGTAGACTTATTGCTGCCTCTTGAACAGGTTATTGCTCACCAGTATAAAACAAAGGAGCAGTGAACTTTAAATTAGCTTTAAAGTGTAGAAAAGTGATTTATATTATATCAAATGCTCTTTTTATTTATGGCTTGAATCAACTTTCTTTTAAGTTGTTTTTTTTATTTATTTATTTTTTTAACAGTGCGGTGATAGGGAAAATAGCCAAAAAAACAACAAAAAAACAACTAAGTATTTATTTTTTTAACTGCTATATTAAATGGTCTAAGAATTGTCAAAAAAAAGCTGGCAAATATCATTTGTAGCTGATCTTAATTAAACAACAAATCGGATGCCAAAAAGCTCTGTTAGATACAACAAACACGGGCAAAGCAATACAACTGTCCATTTCTGCACCTTTTACACCCACACTGTCTGGGCTCTCTGGCTAACATGCAAGTACATGTTAGTCCTTAACACAAACCCAGCAGGTGGTCGGTGTGTGCGTGTGTTTGTATTTGTTAGAAAAGATAGTTTGTTGCTTTGTTGGAGCAGCTAATTTGACCATCTGGACTATTAACAGTACAGCAGAGGGACTGGTTACAGTATCAGCACACACTCAAAACACAAAATGTGCAAACTCACAATTACACACATTTATGCACACAGACCTATACAAACTCACATCTATATAATAAGTGTGTATAGACAGGCAGGCTTTGTGCTTCTGTGGAGAGTTAATAGTATCAGAGCAGAGCAAATTAGCTTCTGGGCCAATCAGAATTAACACAAAACATTCACATCTGTAGAATCAAACCACAACCGTGACTCTCCAACATGGCAGGAAACCTGATCAGTCTGTGATGTGCGAGCTCTGCTACTAATTCTCCATCAGTTAATACATTGTGCAAGGGATCCGCACATGAATTTTCACTCGTATGAATAACGAGATTTATGATTACACAGCATGCAAAGCAATAAAAAAAACAAGCTAAGTTTGTTAGTGTTGTGTTTTGGCTCAAACTATCTCCTTGGTGCATTTGCATGTGTGCAAACAATATAAAATAAAATAAAAATCCACATGCATGACATGACCATCCAGGTGTATGGAAGTTTTTACTTTGTAGAACTCTGTGGTTATACTGAACACTAGGGCTGGGCAATATGGACCAAAATTAATATCTCAATATTTTAAGATGAATGGCAATATACGATATATATAATCAGTATTTTTTCTTTCCATAAAGTATTAACAAAAATATATTTCTGAGTCAAAGCTTTGTCCCAATTGTCTCTCTGGCACATGCACTAGCAAATAGCTGTAACTGTACAAAATAAATGTCTACAAAAATAACTATTTACATATATTAAATAATAATGCTCTTCAGCTGCACCGCCTTCACGACATTAGTAAGCACGAGAACTGCAGCTGCAACTTCGACTGACTTCAGCCTCCTTCCCTGAAACAAACCAGGGTACAAAACTCATTTAGCCATGCTGTGCCTTATGGAAGGAACAGTGAGAAGTAGCGCAACATTAATAAAGCAGAGGCTTATGTATATCGCTAATGACACGGTCCCAGTCTCAACTGTGGAATAAGAAGGTTAAAGTTAGCCATCTTAGGAAATGCTTATTATTTAATTGCTCTGTACATTATTCCCTCATTTATCACGGGGGATTCGTACCTGGAAGCCCCGCGATAAGAAGTAAAAATCTGCAAAGTAGGAATATTAGTACAAGTAATAAGTAATAGTTTATATATATATATATATATATATATACAATGTTTCTAAACTAAACGCTCTAAAAGAGCACAACAAGTCATGATTTCCCTCTCTGCCTCGGCTGCTCTCAGCCACTCCCACTTCTCTGCAGAGCCGAGATACGACACACTGCAGGAGGAAGCTTCTCCTGCAATGTGGGTTGCACACGGGTGCAGCAGGTACTAAGTACTTTAAAATAATTTATTTAAAATAAAAATTCCATTCCGATTGTGCATCTCATCATCACTCAGCCAATTGTGTGTCATGTCCAATCTTATTTTGAAACACCATGATAGAGCGAGTCTGCAGAAAACTAACCGCGAAGTAGCGAGGGACTACTGTATATGCTGTATATGCTATTGTTCTGTTTTTTTTGTTTGTTTTTTTCCCCCTGTGGAATAATAGAAGCTATGCATAACTTGTTCATAAATAATACTGAAAAGATAACTTCTCTTTTCACAGGAGGAACTGCCTTGCACATAAATACCATTTTCCTGCTGTTCTTACGCCTACTAAAGCTAGTTTTATTAAAGTGGAAGTAAAATATTACTGTAATCTCATTGCAAAAATGTTTTGATGCATCACAGTTTAATTGCTGCAGTGACATAACCCAGAAACTTGTGTACTTTTTTAGTAGCAGTTGGAAAACATTAAAGCATAGAAGTATATTTGCAATTATATATATAAAACCCACAAACATTTACCTTTAATACACAGGACAGTAAAACATGTGCAGCTCTGAGTAGGTTATATGAAAATGAATGTGGTAAAAGAGAGAGCAGATGACTTGGATAATAAATACACAAAGATGTAAAAGTTAGATGGAACTGCAAAGGGAAATAAATCTTTTGAGCACTGACGGCTTTAATAAGTGAAACTTCAGTGAAAGAAGGAAGAAAAAAGTTCTCTTTCTCAGAGATATTCCTAGCTTTTTGTGCCTGTCCTTCCAGAGGTGGCGCTTGAAAGGGATTGAACATTATTAAATAATATTCACAGCCATTTTTCCATTACACCACATCAAATGACAACTTGGTTATTAGCACCTTTATATTTCCCCTGCAGGCTGCCTGATGTAAGAGTGAGCTTCCAAAGTGACTTATTGTTGCATGTAGCTATTTCACAAAGTTTTGGAAATTGTGGAAATTTTAAAAGCAAAGCAGCGAAATAACTATTAGCTTCGGATTTTATGACATGAAAGTATCTAGAGGTTTTGTAATTTACAAAAAAATATATATAGTATACTGCTGCAGGGGTGCATAAATGCAGGAATGTTTTAATAAACTCAGTAATTGCTTTGATGACCTCAACAACCAAAGCTTAAAGGTGTTTTAGAGACGAGAAGAGTAAAGAGGAGAAGAGGATGTGAATGCATAAGTTAAAAGAAAAAAATTAAACAGGCAGGAGGTGGGCGGTGGGCAATAAACAGTAACATAGAGGCTGATTCGCATTCCCTGATCAAGCATGAGGCAAGCAAGTCATAAACAAACCATAATTAAGCTTATCAGAGGAAGCCACGATTAAATAAACCAAAGCAAACAAAGACGATGCAAGACACCACGACCTGAACATGCACGCACAAAAAGCCAACGCACAGATAACACAAAGTCAAGCAGAATGCAGAAACAGCATCCTGCAAAATAAGAACTTTGTTTTTTTTCAACACATTTGTGCATAAAAATCAATTAAAAATTCCCACATGATGCATTTTACCATTACCACATTGTTAAAACAATGATCAGAAAAGGATATTTTTGTGATAAATATTTTTTTTTTGTTTTATAAACTTATCAAAAGCACAAAAGTGTTGAACACAAAAGCCCTTTAAACAGGATAAATTAATAATGCAAAATAAAAACAAGCCTAAAAATAAATGCAAATCAAGCTCGCACCAAATAATAATAATAAAATAAAAAAAAAATAAAAAAACATTACATGTTAGTTCATTAACCAAAAGGGACACATAGATTTGAACTCACATATTGAAAACTTGTTGCTGGAGTCTTTGCCAGGGAATAATTTAACGCCTCGCGATTTAAAATCTACTGATCGCTTCACTGCGGAGGAGAACAGAACACAGAAAAAAGGAGACAAATCAGATAACAGATTGGATAAAGTGCAGGCAAAGAAATAGATCTAGCAAAGGATATTTGTAAAATAAAATTGGCTAATTTGTCTCTCTCACAAAGCTGGGAGAGAGAAGAGCAAAGCAAAAAAAGAACATTACAAAGGCAAAGAAAATGTTGAAATGGTGGAACAGGAAGTTGCACGTGTCAAACTCAAGGCCCGAGGGCCAAATAAGGCCCTTGTTAACATCTCATCTGGCCCTAAGATGATATTTTAAAAGTAAAATATTTTATTGCTTTTCATTTTACTTCAAAACTGAGCCTATTAATTAAGACTTCTTATAACGGACAACTTTGAAGCCAAGAAAAACTAGCTTGAATTTTTTCGTAATCTTTGATTTTGATGCAGTAAAAGTGACAAAGTACGTCAAACGAGGCCGACAAAACTCTTGTTGTGGAAACTGCAACCAAGAAAAAGATGTCAGGTATCCGTTTTGGAGGTCATAACGACTGAAGTTGACTCGGTTTGAAATAAGTTTTTAATTTTGGCCCACTTTTTGCTACTGTGTTTGACACCCCTGGGATAATCATATGTGTCACTCAGAAATGCTGGGTTGTTCTGCAGGAAGCCCCATCATATTCCTAACAAAAGCTGGTATCAAAATAACCACAATGCATCTCTCTAATCAAAGCATTCAAGTAACGAAATGTCCGGAAGTAGATCGTCGGTTGCAATAAATCAAATACATTGGAGGAAAACTGCTGGGGAGCAATTCCTGGAAGCACTGATGACCTCCCTCATCAGCCTGAGCTATGGTAACATCAAAATCTAAGCCCATGTGTTAATATAACTCAGAAGGTACGGCTACAAAGACAGACTATAAATGACAAAGTGACAAGGTGAGTGCTAAATCAGTGCATTTATACCAGGAACATAAAGCCCCAGGGGATTCTCAGCTTGCTTCCCCTAAAGTTTCACTTTTTCTGCTGTACTCTTTAAAAATCACAATTTCCAACATTGAAATTAGAACTCCATACAGTATGTTCATACAGTGACTTATCACTTTAATGAATGACTGAAATATTGGCTGACATATGTCAATTTTATAATGAGCCAACTATTTCAATAGATGGTGACAAATGGCTAAGAGCTAATGTACTTCAGTTATTTGACATATATACAGCAGCTGTACATTTGCGCACACATCCGTGGGATTCTGATTGAAATCTGTACACTACGACATGTGCGTTTGATGTCAACTATTCCAATGTTGCACAAGCTTGATGAATTACCAAGCAAAGTAATGGGCTAACAATTTATTTCATGTGAAGTCATTGATACCACTACTGTATAAAACTAACCAGTGAAACAACTGCAAGAGCTACACCAGTATGTGTGTGAACATAAAAGGCAAGTTCGATTTGAACAAATATCAGCTTATAATAAATTATATAAATGGTGGAAGTAATTTGCTTTTTTTTCCTCCACCAGATTACTGTAAAAATATTTATTTGGTTGAGACATTAACATGTTCTTTCTGTTTGTTTCAACTCTAATTGATTGACAAGCAATAGGAGTGTGTAAAGTTTATGTTGCCAATTGGATCTGCTAAAGTTTAGCTGTGACAGCTATGCACATTAAACCAAACTGTACATCTATATTATGCAACATCAGCTCTACATCTATTAGCAGAATAATACGGTTGATTCTTTAATTGAACCAAAACTTGTTTCACTTGACACAAATATACCTTAGAACAAGCTTTACAGTAATAAACGTTGCAAACTATGTTTTCTGTGTTGATGTGTAAACCAAGATTCTCTTAGTGTTGTGTTTTGATTTAAAAAAACAAACAACAAAAAAACATCACATTTCCGCCTTCGTAAAAAAAACTCTAACCAACTCCCAACTGTTCACAGAAAGTTAAAGGAATATTTTTTGTGGCTTTTTTTACTCTAAAGCATTTTGTCTTGACGCGTAAACTGAGTTAGTTTCAATAGAATAGCATGACTACCGATCTGTTGTGTTAGTAAAATGTCACTATAAATATCAGCTAGATGGATTTTAATGAAACTTTTAAAAAGTAATATTTGAATGTACATCTACAGCCAATTATCTTTATCCTTTTGTTTAATCTTTTTTTATACAGGTAGTCTCAGTAAGTCATGAGGACTCATTTTCAAGAGAGACTTGTTTAGGATCAGATGGTGGGGGTTGAGGGCCTTGCTCAAGGGCCCAGAGTGGGGCGAATGAGGGTGGAAGCAGGTGTGGGCGTTTCACCTTTTCCACCAACATTTGATGCTGTTGGACTGGGGAGTCGAACTGGCAATCTTCCACTCACAGGCCCACCTTCTCTAACCTCGGCACCCCACCACCTTCAACTATAAAACCCATTCAAGATGGCCGCCACAACAAACCTACTTGAGCTGACAAAAAAATGGTTCCAACAGATTAGAAACCTAGCATGGCAGTAGCTGAGAGTCATCCTCAACACATATCTTGAGAAAACTCATCACATGGTTTGATCCAAATCATCATCTACAAGGTTTGACCCCAAAAAACTACAACTCTGACTTCTCCTCATAAGATGCTCTTAGATTAAAACTCTGGCATGAAAGGTTGTGGAAAGCCCAGTCCTTCAAGGAACGCTGGGCCAACTTCAAACTGAGACACTGTAATTCCATCTTTTCCTCACAGAACACTTCGCTCTCAGACTGCAGGTTTACTTGTGGTTCCTAGAGTTCCCAAAAGCAGAACGGGAGGCACAGCTTTCAGTCATCAGGCTCCTCTCTTGTGGAACCAACTTCCAGTGTCAGTCTGTGAGACTAACAACTTGTCTACTTTTAAAATAAGGCTAAAGTCTTTCCTTTTTGATAAATCCTATAGTTTCAGTTGGCTTGGGTTTCCTGAGCCATCCTTTATTAATGCTGCTATAGGATTAGACTACTGGCGGACAAATTGACCACATGTCCTCACTTTGCTGCTGTCTTCACTTGCTCTACTCAACATGCTTATATTTGTAATTATTTCTATCTTATGTTTTTTTTTTGTCTTTCCTCCAATAGAAAGTACACATGGACCTGCCGTTCTACAGTTGTTTGTTTCTCCTTCCTGTCCTCTCAAACCCCAGGAGGTCGAAGCAGATGGCTGCTCATCCTGATCATGGTTCTGCTGGAGGTTTCTTCCTGTTAAAAGGGAGTTTTTCCTTTCCACTGTTGCCTTTGTGCTCGCTCAGGATGGGAGACTGCGACCAAGTGAAGATTCAACACAATCTGCTGGATTCCTTAGAGAACTTTTGCTAATTGGCTTTTTCATGTGTGTGAATGTTTTTGTACAGTGCTCTGAGACAACTTCTGTTGTGACTTGGCACTATTCAAATAAACTGAATTGAAATTAATTCATTATTTGTCAATAGTCTTTGATGAAACTGAGTTTCCTTTACATTGCAAGAATAATTTTAATCATCGAGTCTCATTATTAACTTTGCTCCATCACTGGAGAAGTTAGTACACAGAATGTAAAGACAACATGCCACCCTCCCAAAGAAGGAACTTTCTTATCCTTGACTCCACAGTCACAGCTATAAAAGCAGAAAAAAAAGTTTGATAATTGATAAACTGACTACTCTCTCTCTCAAAGTGCATTTTTTCTTAGAATACTTAAAAAAAAAATCTATATTTTAATTGCATGTTCAGATAAAATAGGAATGTATAATTAAAATGCCCCCCAAATGTTTTAAATACAATTCTGAGGGAGTGTCATAAAATATTAAATACATATTTAAATAAATTACATCATATTTTAAGGTCATTTTGTTGCTCCCAGTTTGCTTTAATTTGTTCCAGTTGTCAGAAACTTAAATTCTATAGGACCAAATGATCATGATCAGGTTTAAAGTACTTTTTGTCCAAAGTTTTTTTGTTTTAATTGTGTATGTGTGTAAATTAATTATCTGAATCAAAGTCTTCTAATATGCACCTAAAATCAGTTCTGTGTGAATGTGCATTACATTTAAATAAGGCCTGCTTAATATTCTAGTCTGCATGCAGCAATTTTAATGCAAACAGATGGAAGGGCAGATGCATTTCAGTAAACCACATTTGTGAAGTAAAATACGGAAAGCTATATTTAGTAGCAGAAAAAGAGTTTGGATAAACTTCATTAATGATAAATTAGATACTAAAGCAAAACAGAGTTTACAAAAATACACTCTGAATCCTGTTTCATAACAGGCTATTTACTGAAATTTCGCCTTGTAGCTGTCGGTGCCTAAATGAGCTCTAATATTAAAGTACTTAATTGAGAAAGTCCAATAATTAGTAACCGTTTCTTCCTGCTTTTACCAACCTGAAGGTCAGTTCAATTTGTTCTCATTTCAGGGTGTCAGCTGCTACCATTCTGTCTGGATTTGTTGGTGTCTCTAAGAGAAGCAGAATATGTCCTTTGGGTATTGCACCCTCATGCCCAGCATGCAGCACCATTCCAAAAGTCTCCACTGTCAAATAACTCCAACATAATTCCATACATTTTGGGACTGAGTTGTTTATAGTGACTCCTCGGACTGATGAAGTCTTTGGGATGAAAAACGAAACATTTCAACACAATGAAACTAGCCAGAGGACCTGATTTAACGTTTGATGCTAATAGCAGTAGTTGTAAAGATTAGGGATCATGAAGGTTCGTGATCATGGGTTAGGAAAGGATGGGGCAGCGCATCGGGACAGTGGCTATCACCGTCGCCTCACAGCAAGGAGGTCACAGGTTTGCTTTTTCTTTTCCATGTGTTGACATGGATTAAAATCCCAAGAAATATTCTAATATCTAAACTCAAGCTTGTTGGTCAGACTTTTTACGTGATGGCTCTTAAAGCAACTAGCTGAAAAGGATCATAGCATGTGTGACTATCAGCTTAGAATAGGTAGATTTTAACTGTGCTTGGTTTAAAGTGACTAAAGTGTTGCAATGACATGCTTCTACTCAATCTTAATTC